CATAATCTGTTAAAAGTTCTAATTCTATTTTTGTATATTTTAACATTGCATCCCAACTTAAACCGGGTAATAATGGGCAGGGTCTAAATCATAAGTATTAATACATAACTTTCTAAAGTTTTCAAATACATCGGATGAAAGTAAAACGTCTCTTTTTAAATACAGGTTTGAATAATCTAGCATATTACAACACCCAAAGTGTTTCCAAACATCTTTAGCATGATTGTAATCATCATTTGAAATATGGGAATCTGTGAGCGAGCTATAAAAAAATTTTTGTTCGGGGAGCGATGTTAGGCTTAAACTATCATAATTAGTCATAAGTTCATATGGATAAACGCCTTTCCGTTTTAAACGAAAGAAATCTTCATCATTAGGATAATTTCTACGTAATTCTTGAAATTGATCGTTACTGAGATTTTTGGCCAATTCTTCTAATTTACATGATAAAAACTTAAATGAATCTATGAATCTTAATATAATTTCGTGGTTATTCATTTTTAATTTTTTGGAAAAGGATATATATTTTTCTTTATTTTGAGGGATAACTTCGACTTCACCATCACAATCGTTTCACAAAGTTTAACGCGTGAACAATAAAGTGAGCATCATAGTGACTAAGGTTGTGTAAAAATATTGGTATATAACGAGGTTTTCTGAACTTCGAGCTACATGATTCGTGAGCAACACCTATAAAACTACCGGTGTACCAATCAAAATCATAAAAATGTTCTGCTAACTCTGTTTCACAAATATGACAAATGGTTGCATTTGAAATTTGGTTTTTGTCTTCATTTGTTAGCGGAAGTGGAGGATATTTTTGAAGTCTATTTATTTCTTTGAGATTGTTAGATAAACTTTCCATAAACACTTGTGCACAGTTGGGTCCGCAATATGTTACATATTTTGATAATTTATCATCATATGAACATTTTATATAATAACCAAAACTATGTACTTCATGTTTCTGAATATTCTGTGTGAAAGGTTTGGAAGGATCGTTAGAACATGATTCTATTGGTTTTAAAAATGCTTCAAAATCAGCATAAACTACGAATGGTATCTTTAACTTTTTTTCATAACTATCAAATTTAATTTTATCATTTGAAATAGGTTGACCAAACCAATTCTTTTTTTTTAAAGTTTCACTGTTTGGTAATTCTGTACAAATGTGGGCACAATCGTATCGTTCATGGTTATTTAAACTTTCCTGAGATGGAAAGTGAAGTAGACATGCTTCGCAAATGTACATGATGTGACCGTCTTTTGAAATTTATTTACTAACTAACCGCGATAAATTTTTTATGTAACAATAATGATTTTTTGTATCCTTGGAAAAAAATAATAAATTGATATGTCTATCTTTACGACACTTTGTTAAAAATAATGGACCTACTATAGAATTACATCGTTTTTCTTTATTACATTCTAACCCAAAAACATTAATACTAATATCATTTAATTTCTCTACTTTTGCTATGTCAGAAATTTTAACTGGAAAGGAAATACCATCAAATTTAAGTTTATTTGCATGTTTAACGTACGATGATACACGATCCGCGTCTTTGTTTACAGGATATAACGCCGAGAGTAACGCCCATTTAAAACAAAAATAATCCTTGCTTTTTACATTTATAATAGCCTTTTTTAATTTTAGGTCACGAGGAAGATCTATGTATGAAGTACCGCGTAGGGGGTTAAATTTATTAACATTCATGTCTATAGATTTTATGTTTTTTAGACTCCATCCACTATCTTTTTTTTCAAATGCACTAATTTTAGTAGTACTAATTGTATCATTTAAAGATGAAAAAAAAAATATTTAAGTCATCTCCTTGACAAATAATATAGTTAAGCGTTTGAAAATCGAACGTATGATGAATATCTTTAGTTTGTTGAACAAAATCAGCATGCAATATGAAGTTTACTTTAAAAATTATGTGTTGATGAATACACTCTTGTATTAAAAATAAAATATCATCTTTAATAGAATTTAAAAATAGTTCAGGAGTTTCAAAATTTACCAATGTTGAACTATCTACTCTACTCTTGATTTTATAAGTTAAAATCCTATTTCCAAAAGCAGATTCAATGACACTAACGTTTGATAAAGAATTATGTGAATTTAAAAGATTATTTTTGTGAACATTACTTTTAAAATGATTAGCAATGCAATCCTGGCGTTTTGATCTGCAGACTGACTTCTTCTACTCCGTCCGAATCAGGACTACCTTACTAAAATTTTTCTTTTTGATTCTCATAATTCCAGCCACTCTAATCATATCCTGTCCCGTCCCTGTATGTTAAGTAACTATCAAATAAGTTGTGACGGTGTTAGAATGTCCACTACCACAAATCATCCCAGTGGTGTCGTAAGCGGCGACAGAGGGAAACAAATCAGGAGATGGACAGCAGTGGTCTTCCTTTTAATCACTATAAATAAAAAACCTATGGTTGCCAACCTGCTTGCCAAGCGTGGCAACTATATTATGTATGACTTTAATAGGCTGTAACAGTAACGGTAACATACACACCTAAGTAGAATTTATTATGTACATGTGCAAATGTTAAAGTTATATACGCTATTAGTCCTTTGATCACAGGTTTCCCTCTCAGAAAATGTGAATGTTTGTGCCGAGAGGTTGCTCGCAGAACGAATATGTGTTGAGGGACTTTACATATCCTTGAAATATTTAATTTCTTAGACATTCAAGTTTTTCTCATGGTTCTCTGCACTGCCAAATATGTTGTAAATCAGCAGGTGAAGCACTGGGGTAAGTATGCAGTTCAAGAATGATCCAGCTATTTTTTTTTTGTTATCTTTATTTACAACAATCTGTCGCCTTTGAGGGATATTCAGCAGTATGTTTGTTGGTGCTATCGCTGGCATGCTCGGTATGTGACCTGTGTCACATCCTCATTATTAAACAGTAACTGTGTTTACTGTGTTTGTACTAAATCTTGTGGTATCTTGCGCTTTAAGCGTCGCGCTTTGTTGTGGTTTGCCATGAGTGGCCGGGCCAGAATATTTGGATGATGTTCGATGCGCTCTTTATAAGTTCTAGTATTGCGTAGGATTTCCTATTCTGCAAATCTGATGTAATAGGCCCCAGCTATTACATCAGATTTGATAATCCAGTCTTCACAAAAAAAAAACACCAATTCCTACCAAGGTGATTCGCAGGACTATTAGAAATTATATAACATCCAAATTTCAAGAGAATATGGCTGGGTGATCTGCTTGGGATCCTATAATTAAGAAAATTTCAGAAACTACAGGTATTCCAGGTTAACAGTGATAAAAGACATCCCACACCTCAGTCCCCATGACTATGGGTATTGCAAACATGCAAACCACCTTAAACGTCGGGAACTAAACATAACTCAAATTAATAACACTAAAAATTGTAAAACATTGTTTTATTCAATGCAATTCACAATTTCATTGGTGTCGGCGGAGATCGAACCCACGTTGCCCGCGTAGTATGAAATTTACAGCGAGCAGTTAGCCCCTGAGCCACTACAGTTCTTAAAAATCTGAGTATCATACTATGCCTAGCACTGCGATTAAGTAGTATTTTGCCAGCCAGGTATAGTGATTACGTATAAGCCATTTATGGGGAAGGTAAATATTATAATATTGTCTTTTATAGGCTGATGCATGTAGACATTGGGCTCAGGCGTCACATTAGTTAAATATGAATTATAGTCATACATAAATACAAACTTAATATAACTGCAGAATTGCAGTTTAGCCCTACAATGAAATGAAGAAAAGAGAGATTTACAGATAAGTAATATTAAAGAGCTAATGTGGCAGTCACAATCACAAATTTAAAGAATTAGCAAACAGAGAAATCATGGCTGCGTCCGAACAAAAAAGGAAAAGTTCCTGTTATAAATGGCTATACATTGCATATCTCACCGTGTCCTTCTGATGTGCATGATTGTCAAAGGGAGGCAGTTGCTTTCAATGTTAGAAAAGCATGATTTATAATCAAACAAATAATGTATTTATTACAAGTGAGTTTAATTTTAAAAAATAATTAATCCCATAAAAATTAATATTTATAGACTATTGAAAGTTAATGACAGAGCATGATTTGATAATGATGCTCAGTCAATACCATAGAGTTGTATTGTCGGTGGATGACTAATGAAATGATGGTAGCTTTCACTGTTGGATAAATAAATGGATGCTTTCAAGTCAAACCTGCTGCAATAAAGGCTCAGCTTCCATGGTTAACTGATAACAAAATTGATGAAAAATCTAAGAACGAAAGCATGCCATAATTATTATGCAACAAGAAAATGTTTTAAACAATGCTATATACCCTGAAAATAAAGCCTTTTTTATCAATTCATAAATAGATATGTTAGTCAGCCAATGATGCTTTGGAGAAATCTTAAATCCCATGTGTACATGTGTACACTCGCATTATATTGTCTAAACATTAAGTAGTTTCTAAACAGTCCTGGCTCTGGATATGTGTACTTTGTGGATATATACTTTTACTAATGTCAGATTTTCCACAAGTAGACTGGTTCTTCATAATATTAATCCAGAAGTTTAAAAGTTTATTCATAGCATCTAAAACGCTTATGGTATTGATACTCTGTCTATGCATATGATTACTGTAGTTTTATTTTTATTTTCCATTTTTTTTATTTAAGTGTGTTACCTCAGAACTATTTTCTAGATGAACCGACTAATTTGACTTTGACAAATTTGATGTTTTCATTTTATTTATATTAGTTGGTTGTATACACTTTTCAATTTTACCACTTTATTTAAAAACAGAATACTTTTAATAGCTCTTTTTGAAACAAGTACACAGGCCATCTGTTAACAGGTGGAGGGTATGGCTCATTGACATCAACATAAACACAAGATGTTGAAAAAGATTTAAATGTTAAACCTTTCATTGTGATTAAAATCAAAAATATATAAATTAAATTAATATTTCAATAATACAAATAGATACATTTTTCGTTTAACACTAATTCTTGGGACATTGAGAGTTTGCATCACTATTTTTAGAAGTACATAATTCCTTATGTTGATGACTATCAATGGACAAATGATCCTTGTGTTGCGTCAAATCTGACGCCTGATATTCTACAAGGAGTTCACAATCAGTCGTTGAACGTTTCTCGCGACGAATGAGCAAATCTGGAGCGTAAGGCTCAACATACTCCAGACCATCAGTAACTAACCAAGCTGCACATTCTTCAGCCACTCGCTTAGCTCGATGCTGCCTCATTTTTATACATTTTTTGGTGTATTGTGAAAGATTTGATTTCTTTTTAGCAGGCATGTGGTAGATAAAGGATAGTATTCAAAACAAAATGTACTAACTTGGATCAAGTCAGTGGTTAAATATTAATGAAAAGAGGCCACGAAAACGTAATCACTATGTTTTTATCTAATTCACATCCAAGTATTATACTTCCTACGAATATATTAGTGACCAACGTCAAACTCAAAAATCAAAGGGTATGTTCCGAAAATCCGAAATACAACGCAGTATAAGGGTATGTTCCGAAATACAACGCAGTGTACTGTCCAATGTAAATGACGTCATGAATCGACGCTATACTGGTGATTCGTTCCAAAACATTGGACAGTATATGACGTCATACTATTGCGCCATTTGGAAAAGTGTTGGCGATTATTTTGTCATTTTGTGCTCCAAAAATCATTATATCCTCCTAATGGACATACAATCAATTATTCTATAATTTTTTGTATTTGAATAAATAGAAACAAATTCTGGCATGCTTCATTCGGCAAACACACAATTAAAAATTGTTTTATTATGGCTGGATATCCGACACAATATGGCGGTGGCACGCTAGTACAAATAAAGTGTCAAATGATACGTCATTTGCATTGGACAGTACACTGCGTTGTATTTCGGAACATACCCACAGTAACTGGCTACGCGGCATGTAACAGGATCACTAGTTTCGAGTCATATTACAAGTAGTGATTTTTGTAAATGCGTGATTATGATTACTGTTAACCATGATTATTGCGGGAATCGACTGTCAGTCGGTCGAGCGCATAGCGCACATGTGGCATACAACAATAAACAAAACATCGTAAGTAACATTATTATTGTACGTTTAATTTTCATACGTAAGACTATAGACATAGACAATAAAATAGAGTAATCTGTTTGTAAATAATTTCAACGGTTTGCGATTCCGGGAAGCGAGTCACATTGAATTTAACTAAAATAATTTTTAAAACATTTTTGACGGAGTCATGAACTCGTTTATTCATAAAATTAAAATAAAACTAAAAAATGTGTATAAAAAATTTAAAAATTTAAATGGTTATAATATTATAAAACTTAAAAACTGTGTGTAAATAGCCAAACAAACAAACAAATTAATTGTACAGTGTAAATAAATGTGCAAAAACAAATGATAGTGAAAACGTTGAAAAAGTGTAAATAAACTGTAAATATCAATAATCATTGTATATACAATCAAATTGACTTGTAAATATGCCTGCATTAATAATTTTATGAAAATCTTAGTGTCATAGTAAACGCAAATCAATCATAAATACATTTAATGCAGTCAGTCCTAAACCTGAATAAAGTATGAAGGGAAATAATTTATTCATTTAACAGTATACAGTTACTGTATAGCTACAAACACAGATTGTGATTAATCATTTAAACCAACTTGTAAACTCCTTAGATCGCTACGAACTGTCAAAGTTGTTTAGCAAAGTGTAGTTTGCTAAACAAAAAAACCGGCACGGAGAAAGGGACAAACAATCACACCGCTTTCTCTCATTTCTATGCAAGACGTATGCATAAATCTATCTTTTTCGTGTGCGAATGCGAAAGAAGGCGTCAATTTGTCTATAGGTTTCTCTGTCTACGTCATGAAGGTTAGAGAACAAACAAAAACATAGCCCGCCTGTCCTTGAAAATTGTAGAATTTATAGCAGCGCTGACGTCGGTCAGCGCTGCTATAAATTCTACCTCCCCTTTTTATGAATTTTTTTAGTAATCTGCCGCATGAATATATGGTCGCCGAGTGGGGAGGGGACTGGGGTAGGAACCTCCCACTAAAAGGGGGAAGTGCCGGTAACCCCCCTTTTTTTAGTAAAATTAAATGCGTCAATATTCCTGTTTAAAAAGCCTTAATTTTTTAAACAGGAATATTGACGCAGTTACTTCTGCAACGGCTTCGGCACTGCGGGAAGTGCAGCTCCTTTGCCCTTGCGTAGCAAATGACAGGCACCCATGCTCGCCTCCGCAGCTTCGGCTTCCAGCCTCAGCCGCTACGGCTCGCTTAGGTGCCTGCGATTTGCTACAGCGGGCGGGGGCTGCTCTCCCTCCGTGCTTAAGGCTTTACAAAAACACTCTAGGGGTAGTGCAGACAAGACTACGTGGAGTCGGGATGTGCTAATTCGGTTTTAGAACCGATTCGACCAATTTTATCTATAAAGTCTAGTTGCTCTTAACTCTGCTAAACCTCTTGACTGCTCTCTACTGCAACTCAATTTGTTGTATATAAGTCCCATCTCCAGCCACAAATGGATTGTCTGGGCCGAGTGATTAACTTTTTTATCGTTTCGTTATACGTAATTTAAAGTGAAATTTATTTTTATCGTAATAAATTCGAAAGGCATTTGCGAAATCCAAAAATAGTGTAAATGGTTCGAGTTTAACCCTGACAATCCTCCTAAATTGAAAACATAATTAAAAAATCAAGTATCGTAAACCTACTTCATAATACGAGAACAAATTGACATATTACACTATTTTTGGTGAAATTTGTTTTTATCGTAATTAATTTAAAATGCATTTCCGACATCTAAAAACAGTGTAATAGGTTTAAGATTAACCCTAACAAGTCTTCTAGACTAAAAACATTAACAAAATCAAGTACCAGATGTCTAGCCAACCCGATATAACTTCAAAACTTTAAATATCGATTTCTCGAAAAATAAAGATTTCCGGCATAAAAAGCAGCTAAATGGTAATCAATAGCATCATTGCCTGTCAACTAAAGCTAAAATAATCACTTAAATCGTGCAGCTGATTACTAAAGCCGACCCACCAGTAACGTCATATATACATATTGTACACACTGTAGTCTAAAAACTATTAGGTACAATACAAAATATGAAAGGTTTGGTGACAATATCAAAATGTCACTACAAGTAAAAATCGATCATTTACATTTGTACCTAGATAATGCTCGAATAAATATCACAAAAAAAAATTGTTAATTCTCGAGCATATATTTTACAGTACTAAATTATAATTTACTTGGCTATGTACATTATAAAATTACACCTACTTTGCTTGAGAGCATGACTTTATTGTGTAAAAAGTTGGCATGTCTCGTACTCGTAGAATAGTCTTTATTTCAAATGAAAATATTTGAGAGACTAGGTGTACTGACTGATCTTATCTGTTTTCATTTATAAATTAAAAAACTTCATATTAATAACTACAAAAATACAAAACTAGTTTTTTTTTTTTTTTTTTTTTTATAGAAGAGGGGGCAAACGAGCATGTGGCTCACCTGATGTTAAGTGACTACCGCCGCCCATGATCAACCGCAACACCAGGGGAATTGCAGGTGCGTTGCCGGCCCTTTAGAAAGGAGTAAGCTCTTTTCTTGAAGGTCCCCAGGTCGTATCGGTCCGGAAAAATCACCGGTGGTAAATTATTCCACAGAGAGGTTGTACGCGGAAGAAAACTCCTTTTGAAACGTACAGTGGTGGACCGCCAAGCATCCAGATGGTGTGGATGGTATCGGGACGTTTGCCGTGTAGTGCGTTCACGAAATTTGGCGGCTGGGATTAATCCGAACAATTCCTCAGAGCACTCCCCGTGATAGATGCGATAAAATACGCAAAGAGATGCAACATCTCTTCGCAGCGCCAGTGAATCGAGCCGATCGGAAAGCACACGGTCGTCAACGATTCGTGCCGGTCTGCGCTGGATGCGGTCAAGTGGAAGGAGCTGGTACTGGGGAGCCCGAGCCCAGAGATGGGAACAGTATTCCATGAGCGGCCGAACCTGCGCCTTGTAAAGTTGCAGGCGGTGTGCCGGCATGAAATACTGTCCCGCTCTGCTGAGCACGCCAAGCTTTTTAGAGGCCAATTTGGCCTTCCCTTCCAAGTGACCACGAAACTGCACGTCACTCGATATGTCGACGCCGAGGATTCCGATACTGGCTGAGGCAACAAGGGGAGTGCCTTGAAACTGAGGGGATACGACAAAGGGGTTCTTTTTAGCGGTTAACGCGCAAACTTGTGTCTTCTGGGGGTTAAACTGGACTAGATTTAGTCGCCCCCAATCCGAGACTCTGTCCAGCAGAGACTCGACTTCAGACACAAGTTTGTCCCGGCACTCAGAGACGTTTTCCCGAGAAATATTGGCTCGGCCGGTGTAAAGAGCATCACCAGTGCTGTCATCTGCATAGCAATGAATGCTACGGGTTTGCAACATATCATTGATATGCAGAAGAAACAGCGTTGGCGATAGCACGCAGCCCTGTGGAACACCAGCATTAATAAGCTTGCAATCGGAGCTTGCACCGTCTACAACGACCTTGATGCTCCGATCTGCAAGAAAACTGGTGATCCAATCGCACAATTTCTCGGGAAGCCCATAGGAAGGGAGCTTCGAAAGAAGCGCTTTGTGCCAAACCCGATCGAAGGCCTTCGCAATGTCCAAACTAACGGCCAATGCCTCCCCCTTGGACTCTACTGCCTCCGCCCATCTGTGAGTTAGGTAGACCAGAAGATCACCAGCTGACCTACCACGGCGAAAACCGTATTGGCGGTCACTAATCAGCTGGTGATCCTCAAGGTACCTCATGAGCTGGCAGTTTACAATGGACTCCATTGTTTTGGAGAACAAGGAGGTGATGGCGATAGGCCGGTAGTTGGACGGGTCTGAGCGGTCGCCTTTTTTAGGGATCGGGTGGACGAAAGCCGTCTTCCATGATTTTGGGACTACGCCTAGGGAGTAGGAGTACCGGAAAAGACGCGTTAAAACCGGTGCCAACTCTGGAGCACACGTCCTCAGCACAATTGGGGGGATTCCATCAGGCCCACTCGACTTATGGATGTCCAGGGAGAGGAGTGCTTTGCGAACCGAGCGCTGAGTGAACTTCACTTCCGGCATGGAGCACTCACACCGCGGGATGGTCGGCGGCGTACTCCCCCCGTCATCGAGAGTCGAGTTAGACGCAAAGAAAGAGCCTAGAAGATCGGCTT